TCGAAAAAAAAAAGGGAAGAACTTTAGAGAAAAAATGTCAAGATATGACATGTCAAAGTCATGAATCCCAGTGGATCAGTGGTCTTACAAGTCTCGAAGGAATCAAGTGGTGAACTCAAGACTGATAGTACATCTATCAAGAAGACAATTCTTCAAGGCAAAGAAGAAAACCGGTGATTATGCCTAGATGATCACCAACTCTCACCCTTATACACATTTCTTAGCCTGATATATACTTTCGTTTCTCAACCCGTGAACCTAGCCTACGTTACGTCCCTTGCAAAGTCTCTTCTGATTAGGGCACTTGAATTAACGTAGAATTTCAGATGTTTATAAGCTTAGCCCGAAGAAGTGCGAGCAAGTCTATTTCTATCTCATTTTGCAGGGTTCTTGACTTGTAAACCCGAAGATGATTGTGGAGTATTTTCTTTCAATACCCTCGACTCGAAGAGTCCCCTTTGTTAAGCCATTGACCAAACCGACACTACGGTCCTGATAAAGACCTCTTAGATTGGTAAGGTCGTACCGCTTGCGAGAATACTCGGATCCTTGTCGACATGATGATGGTGAGACGGAGTGATTCTCATAAAATAGCCCTTCTGAATGAGAGTGAGTGAAAGCCCTTTTTAACTGAAAGTCTCTCATTTAGCATTCTTAAGAAATCCACGTTATAAGTGAAAATTGTCTTAATGATAATTCTCCATAGTGGAAATTTGGTTATGCAAATATGGTAAAACCATCATGCATAAACCTCAATTGAATTAATGAATTTTGAAATGTGTGTTCTAGAGTAGCCGTGATTGCTAATCTCTTTTATGAATGCATATGTGTTTTTGCTCTAGTCATGTCCGACAGGTAATGTTTCCTCGAAGACTGAAGAGTTCCTGACGCTTGAGTTGCTATCTGAAGCTTCGAATTTGTTTAAATATTTTTCAACATTCAAATATCTGATTGAAGTTTCAGGTATCATTTTCGAAAATCCGAAGGGAATTTTCGATTCTATTAATCATATCTGATTGCAGTTTCAGATATCTTTTCGAAGATCCGAAGGGAATCATCGAACCCATTCAAATACCTGATTGAAGTTTCAGGTATTATTTCCGAAAATCCAAAGGGAGTTTTCGATCCTATTAATCATATCTGATTGCAGTTTCAGATATCTTCTCGAAGATCCGAAGGGAATCATCGAGCCCTTTCAAGTATCTGATTGAAGTTTCAGATATCATTTCCGAAAATCCGAAGGGAGTTTTCGATCCTATTAATCATATCTGATTGCAGTTTCAGATATCTTCTCGAAGATCCGAAGGGAATCATCGAGCGCATTCAAGTATCTGATTGAAGTTTCAGGAATTTTTCTTGAAAGTCCGAAGGGAATTATTCGATACCTTTCATTGAAAATCCGAAGGGAATTTTCGAGCCCATCTCATCTCAAGCTCTACTCTAAAAATCCGAAGGGGATTTTCGAGCTTTCAAATACTATTGGGAATTCCAGATACTTGGCGGGTTTCGAAAGCTGATCCATACCCCAATTTTGCTTTTCCAAATCTTCAGGTAAGTAAATGCAGGTATGTTTTCTATTTTTGCATTTGCATTTTCATATCATATTAGAAAATGGGTGTGGGCTCATTGAGATCCCATTTACTCGACAAAAAGATTAATTTTTCTCATTGCATTTGCATAGTCAAATTTCAGGTATCATTTTATCTTTGAATGAAACCTCTTCGAGCTCCCCTTCAAAGAGGGGCAGCTGTTGACACCTAAATTTTGACAATCCAGTCAGTCGTTCGTTGCATAAAAATTAGGGATCGAGCCCAGTCCCTAGACAAAAAATTAGCATATAGATTAGAAGCATTTGAATTTGTATTTAGGCTCACATAGTTGCATTTGCATTGGACTGGCGGCGGATGGACTCAAGTGCAGAGGTTGTGAACTCAATGGAAATTGGACTAAACTCGCGTGGATTAAAGATTTTGGCCTAGCCCATTTATTTTTGCGCGAGGGGTCCTACACTTAGAAAGAATTTTCGTAAGTTCACGATCTAGGGACATGCGATCAAGAGCAACATATAAATCGTGCAAAAGGTTATATTCTTGATTGTGTGTATATTATATGTTTGCCATATATTTGGTGCATAATTCTTGATCAAGAATCGATAAAAAAGAGAGAGATTCTTTTCCGAGTCTTGAAGGGCGTAATCTTGTCGGTTTAGGCGTGGAATATTGGCTGAAATACGGACAATATTCTGATTTGGGGAGTGAAGAAGACAAAACAAATATAAAAGAAGATGTGTGCGAGAGGGGAGAGGAGGAAAGAAATTGCAAAGCTAGATTGTGCAATATGTGGTTGAAAAGAGAAAATATTGTATATTTTCTTTCCTTGGTGGGCTCCATTTCTTGGCATATAAATAAGATGATAGTGCAATGCGTGAAGGAGGGGCTTTTCATTTGGATCGGATCAGACACAAGAAAGACAAAGAGAAAACACGAGAGCGAGAGAGAGGAACGGGGGGAGAGAGAGGATCACGGGTGGACTTGTCCGCCGCCGCATCCGTGTGGCCTCACCGTGGGCCTCCATCAACGCCGCGCACGCTCACGGCCAGACCTGTGGCCGTGAGTCACTGCTGCCCCGAAGTCGACACTGCCGTGCCCGTGTCGCCCATTCCAACGCCGGGCTGGTTGCCGCTTCTCCCTGACACGCGCGGACTCCTGCCGCTGCTGTTCCGTGACGTTGCCGTCCCACTGCTGATTGCTGAGCCGCCGCCTGTCGCTGCTTCTCTCACGGCCAGACTCGTGGCCGTGAGTCGTGACCCTCCTCGCTCCGATCTCTACCGAATCCGCACCTCCGCCGCTCGTGCCCCGCTCAAGCCTCGCACCGGCGAGAAGTCCTTACACAACGACGCTGAACCAGCCCTCTGACGACGAAGCCATCGAGCGCCGCTTACTGCTCCAAGTTCAACGCTCACGACGTCACCGTTCTCCTTCTCTTGCCAATGCGAGACCACAACATCCAGCAATTGGTCTGACGTCCCTGCATGACTAGATCGGCTTTTGTTTGATACACACTGAAGCATTGAAGACAGTCAAGTGGAAAGCTTAATTGTGTGGGCTTAAATAGTCAAAGTTTGATAATCAGAAGAAGACCATTACAAGACCAGCCAGATTCGGTCAAAAGCCGAAGGACGATGATGCATTTGCCGATCCCGAGTTGACCGAGAGCCCACCGTCGAGTCACGCCCCGCTGTTGCGTCACTCTCGCGGCCGACTCCGTGGTCGCGAGCCAGTCCATTGTCGCCGCATCCGCCGTCGATCGCTCGTCGCCCGTCATCGGTTATCCGTTGCCGGTCCACTCGCCGCGATCCCGATCCGCCACGAGTTCAAATTTGGAATTATCCGCCAATTAGGTAAGATTATTCGAATATTTATTTAATTTCCTAGTTTTCGGGTATTCGAATATTTCGTGAATATTTTGATGGATAGCTATATATCTTAGGATAATATTTGCGATATCCGCAATATTCGAAAACACCTAAAAATTAGGAATCATTCCTAATTTGGCAACGTATCTGGACGACTATCCGACCTTATCCCTAAGGTACGATACGCGGCGATACGGAAAATCGTTATCTTGTCCATAATCACTTGGATACGATAATATATTTAATTTGCTTTCCAAATTTAAACAATCAACTTTCTGTCGATATGTATAACCCTATAGATATGACCGTTAGTTTGATTTCTTTGCCTTATCTGAATTTGAAGAATCTTGCGGATTGCGTGGATTGTTTGAATGTGATTGGTATCTTTGTTTGATTGTTTTTCTTTTAAATAAAGAAAACCAAAAAAATTGTTAGTTAGATTTAAATTAGAAATTTTGCATGCTTAGGGAATCTTAAATATATCCAAAAGAATAAGATAATTATTTGATTTAAATTGGGATTTAGGGTGGCATATTTCCTAGTTTAAATTAGAAATTATTTTAATCTTAGTGGATTATTTAGGATATTTAATAATTTCGAATTTTAATAAAAATCCCCCAAAAAAAAAAGAATCACTTTAGGATAGATCAAATCATTTTCTCTAGGATAGATTGCATGTTAATTTGAGTAATTTTTAATTCCGAATTTCATTTGAAAATACCAAAAATAAATCATTTGTCCGTCATTAGAATTAGGTCACGTCGTCGCATGACATATAGTTTGCATGTTAGGCTGCATTAATCGCATGTTAATTTTTGCACGTCATTACATATACGTTAGTTTTCATTTAAATAAGTGAAAATCCTAAAAAATATTGAGTGAACTGCTTGTTAATTAGAAATCATATTAGAATTGTTGATGTGATTTTCTAGCTAACAATGCAGATGCTTACGTTGCTTCGAGGTAAGTAATTCTCCCAATCTTGCAATTTATTTAATGTTTTGATTATTGGGTGTTACTTTGGTGGTTTGCGCACCCGCATGATCACCTCACATGCTAGTGACTAAGTTAAAATGGATCCAGACTGCCTGCACAAATGTTTTTGAAAAGAAAAGGTACCGAAAGGGCGTTAGACTAGATCTAGCGTAATCAAGTCCCCGAGCTTAGAATCTCTGGTTCGTAAGAATAAAACATATCTCCCTATGTTTTATTTAGGTTTCTAATCGACCTACCACAAATAGATTAGTGGCGACTCCAAGCATGAAAACTTTCGCATGTTAAAAACTTAAACCCTAAGTTGCGAATTGGTAGGGCTTGGGAGGGCCCGAGTTAGGCTTAGTCTTAACAATCCATTAGCCTGAGAGAAATTTTAGGTCGCGACACAACTTATAATCAATTAATAATTTTTTGTGTGCTGTTAAAAATTTTGGTGATAAAAAAATTACAGTTCATTTCTACAGCACGCTGCAATACATGACATACAATCTGCATTGGAAAATATAATGCTTTAACTAGTTTGGGAGTGATTATATGCAGCACGCTGCTAAGTTCCATCACATTGTTTTTTTTTTTTTTTATGGATCAGAAATGTACCAGGAAAGAAAGAAACAAAAGCAAAAAACAAAGCGAAAATCACAAGACTATGCGAAGTTAGAACAAGATGTCCAAAGCTGAATAAAAGAGCACAGCACAGAAGCAGCCAAAGATTCTAAACCCTCAAACAATCTTTTATTGCGTTCCTTGCAATTGCACCACATGAGACAAAGCGGTGCAACATTCCAGGACTTCTTAGAAATAGAGCCTCCTCCATAAGCAGTCCAACAGCTAAAGAGCTGGATGGCATGAAAACTTGGCATAACCCATGTCACCTTAGACGAGGTAAGGATATGATTCCAAAGCTTAAGTGCAGAGTCACAATATTACATCCATTCATTTCTTAAAATTCTTTTGCATTTAAGAAGAATTGGATATACTTCATTTGTTATCCAATTTCCAAGGCTGATATATCATTTACAAATATTAATATGTTGGAGCAGTATATTTTTTTCAATAATGTTGTCTTAAATGTTTTTGTGCTGTATAACATATTAGCTTTGCCAAATTTAGTTTGCTGCAAATGTGATGCTCCTCTGGCCATCGACAGTCAGATATGGTCTATACCAGTATCATTGGTCCTAGGGACTTGTGGCATCTGATGAAAAGTAATCAATGTGGGTGCTTGAGAGACTAACTCTGTTTGCCTGCCATGTAGTCTCCTCAAATTCTGATTTTTGGGTTGAGATAGAAGAAGAAAAGTTTGAAATAAGATTCCTTTCCCTCTTTTAAGTTCTAGAGATAACAGTAGCATATGGGATGCAGGGCACGAGAATTACTCGAGCATTATTTCTTCAACTTGATGACACAAATTTTTACAAACCTTATTTTAACTTTGCAGGGTTGTGGTTGGAAGATTGTTGCAAGCTTTGAGGGAAATTTTCCTAACCGCATCAAGCAGGTTCCCTTGGATAGGCATTTTGATATTGATAACGTCAAAAGGGTATATTGGTTTTGCTATTTCCTCTCATGATCTCCATACTTCTCTGATTATTCTGCTGGAATATTTATCTCTGGGCCTTGTGATCATACCAGATTATGCTTGAGGCAGATAGTTATCAACCTTATTTTTATCTGTCCAGAGAAAGGACTCAGATCTCTGATAAAAAGTGTCTTGAAGATGGCAAAAGAGCCATCACGGCTCTGTGTCGATGTGGTAGCTGATTTTAGTTGCGTTAATTGCCCTGTCATTCTTTGCAAGCATTGAGCCTTCTTTACTGCTTCCATAAGTTTCTCTGCTTGCTACCGCCCTATTAAGTTTCTTGAAGATTCCTTTCAGATGCAATGCACTGATTTTCCTTTCCTACCCCTTGTCATACCTTGTGTCAACATTGGGCTGAACAGGTGCACCATGTCCTGCTGGACATTGTTTGTGCTGCTGCAACTGCTACACCAGGTCTTGGGAGATATCCTCCTTTTAAAAGAGAGGTACTAGTTTATAGTATCCATGTAGCAACAGTTTGAACAGTATCACAGTGTTTTTAATCATTCATTAGGTTGTGGCCATTGCAACTGCCGCGCTTGATACATTTAAGAATGAGGTCAAGAAGATGGTGGTTGCACTTGTTGACATGGAACGTGCATTTGTCCCTCGCCAACACTTTTCATTAGATTGGTGCAGAGGAGGTATGCTTACTGAGAGTGTGATAATAGATACTATTATCTTTTATTGCAGCAAAAATTTGCTAGATGAGTTGAATTTGACGATCTTGGATATTCAACCCTGTTTTCCTGAGGAAAATTGATCCATTTCACTTGCTTGTCTAGATAGACTTACTTTTTGCTTATTCTAAATCTTGTGGCGGATGTATATTGTCGTTTTCTTAAACCTAAACACTTGAAATTTTTAGAACATACAAATGCTAACTCATGGATTCACATATTTTTTTCATAATTCTTTGAAATGGATGAGTTGCTTTTTCCTTTCTAAAAAGCACAAACAAACAGGCCCATCGTGTTTGCGTTGAGTCAGCTTTACCTTCTGAAGGAAGACCTGATTTTGTTTCTTTTATATGCAATATGGGGTTTATATTAGTATTACATAAAATTGTCAAATGCAAAATTGGTTGTATTATAACTATGTATTCTGTCTACTTGAGGTCTCTGTTGTTGTGAGTATAACTATAGCATTGCTTGATTATGCTAATTTTTCTTCTTTTCAGTAAACTTGTTTCAGGCTCGTCTTCTTGGTCCTTATCAGCGACAGCGTGCACATTTGCCAGTATTCTGCACTCAAAGTAAAACTTAATCCAATTTCACTTTTTTTTTTATGATTTAGTTTGATTTACGAGATACGAGTATTTGTATGGTATGTTTTGTTTTTTCCACTCGAACTCTATAATTTCATATATAGCTAGTGAAACATGGTTGGTTAGGCTCCGTAAGACAATGTGTTACTCCTCGATATATTTACTTATTTTCTGTTCATTCATTTTAAAGATACGTGTGATAATAATAGCGAATATAGAAAGCAAGGTCGATTATTATTGAATCTTTGGGATGAAGATAATACAGCTCTAGCGTACGATCGTGTAAATAACTCAACTGCAATGGCAATTGAATGGAGAACACATCAGGTCTCCATTCAACGAAGCGGATCGGTTGTTTTCTCTTCTTTTCTCCAGATAATAATCTTATTGGCAAGATAGTCATAAATATAATAAACACATAAAATATTCTTAAAAAATTACAAGAAAGTTCAAATAGTGGACATTCTACGCAAAGGTTATTTTATGAGGCTTAAACCAATGGCCTGAGAACTTGCACAATCCAACATTATATCGTTAGATTATTGGACGGTGTGGATTAAAAACTGAAATTATGTAGGACAGTTGATAGAATATCTAATAACTCCTCAATAAATACATACATTAAAGTTTCTTCTACGCCTATAAAAATGGTTTTTTACAATAGAATAATAAAATCACTTTCCGTCGAGACAATATTGGTGGGTGAGCAACAATAACAATGAATCGATGATAATTCTCTATTCTTATACATTTTTTCGATCATACATAGCAATTTTTTCAAATTGAGTCAACGAAAAATTATGAATTTGAAATTCTCAGCGGGTGATTGCAGGGGGGAGATTAAAAAAAACGTCCTAAATCAGTTGCAATTATACTAATTCAGTCATAATCCTTTCAATTTGGCCAATTCAATACTAAACCTTATAACAATTTGTCAATTCATTCATAAACATTTTAATTGTGCCAATTAATTCTCAACATTTTGATGATTTGCCTACTTAGTTTAAAATCTTTTGACGATTTGTCAATTTAGTCATTTTGGATAATTTTGGCCGGAGCTCGTTGATATGACAGTCTAGTTAGTGCCGGCCGACACTGACGTGAACAATCTTTGAAACTTTTTAAATTTTAAAAAGATTTCTGAATTTCCAATCAAAAACCTAAAACTTTTAATAATGCAATCAAATCATAAAATTTGTCTAATTAGTGCAATCAAGTACTTTCGTTATGCCTGTCAAATGAGATTTAGGTCGGATCATAAATGGTCTGACCCAAATTGACTCATTTAACCTATTTCGACCCATTCCCGGAGTAGAAAAAGAACAGAAATGCGTTTGGTAGGACACTAAAAATTTCTACTCCTAATTTTTTCATTTAATTATAAAATTGTCATTGGAGACTTAACGACTCATGTTTGGATAAAACTGGACTAGAAATAGAATAAGAATATATTATGATAAAGAATTGGATGACCTTAATACCATCATGAAGAAAATTACTCCTTATAGATAAAGCAAATACTAGGTGATGATCGAGGAAATTGCAGTTTAGGAGACTTAATGATTCATATTTGGATAAAATTGGACTAGAAATAGAATAATAAGAATTGGATGACCTTAATACAATCATAAATAAAATTACTTTTTATAGACAAAGCAAATATCGGGTGGTAGTCGAGGAAATTGCAATTTAGGGTATAGGATTTTAGGATTTGGGATTAGGGGTTAGGGTTTTAGGATTTCAGTTTTGAGGTTTAGGATTTGGAGTTTAGGGTTTTAGGTTTTGAATTTTAGGATTTAGGTTTGGGGTTTAGGTTTTAGAGTTTCGGGTTTGGGATTTTAGTATAAGCTTTTCTTAGTCTAACCGTCGAAGTACATCATGCATTGCAGTTTGATTGGCCTAACTTTCGGATACTTTACATGTTATTCAAACTTTTTTCATTTAAGTATATATCCTTTTCTTTTCTTTGTATATTGCTTCTTATTAAAAGTTCATGCGATAATTATCTTGATTGGACAAACGTAAGCAAATAATTGAGTTGAATAAACAGATGGCATTGCAATATCGCAATACGTATGCTTATGTGTGCAAATCATTGTATGACACATTGTGGATTGGGGGTGCAAATTTCTACAAATCTCAACTTTTACAATTCTCTACACATACATGCCAAAATTCTGGTTAAGTAAGTGAATTACTCAGTTCTAAGGATCTTCGTACGGATTGTTCATGTAATTCACTGGATAAAGAGCCGACTCTTGTCTGCCGTTGACTCAGTTCTTAGGATTGGATTTTTGCTGCTCTTATTCCGATAATCTTGTTTGGATTTTCAGTGATAGCGCTTTGAAAGCATTGGCAATGGAAGTCAGGTGTCATGACTCAAGTTAGGGGTGATTGTGGTTTCATGGACATGGAGTTTGAACGGGCCCATAGTAGGCCCATGATCGAACCGCTTCAACAATGCTTTCAGCCCGTCGAGCCCAATTAGTTTTTTTTTTTAAGGGACCTGCCAGGAGATCTAATCAACGAGTGGGTGTAGGCATGCCGAGCTCGAGAGTCCTTTGTCCAAGCTTGTCCAAAATCGAGTCAGAGACTCGGTGGGTTGTCATGCTGTAATCAATTATAGAGGCAATGTTGTAAATGGCTTGTGTACCATTAGTGGATGTTCGATTTGGTTGATTTATTTTAATTTCATTCAATTTGAACCTTGAAATCTTTGAAGAGAACTAATTTAGCCGGTCGAATCTTTTTAGCCAGGTTGGCATCTAAAGTGGCAATGCAGCTCGGTCATGAGACCCACATTTATTGATGCACTTGTATTCATACAACCACATCAACAAAGCACACACACATAAAAAAAAAAACGGAAAAGTGTCAGAAAAGTAAAAAAATCTTTTACATTTGTGCCCATTTAGTCCTAAACATATCTTTTATGTCAATTTAATATTAAACATTTTATCTTTGTGCCAATTTAGTCCTTCCAGTTAATTTTGACAGGTTTGTTAACGTGGACGTTGGCCAGCCTACGTGACACCACCGGCTCTAACATGAACAATTTTTAATAATATTTTTTTAATTTTTTTCTTTCTTTTGTTTTTTTTCTTTCTTCTTCCTTTGGAAGGTGACCGGCCATTGCCCATGGTTGGGTGGGCTCGCCAAGGTGAGGCCGCCGTCGCCTGCCACAAGCAAGGCCCAACTAACCCTCACCTAGGCAAGGTCGTGCCTCGACAAGGGTCGGCCTCACCAAATCTGCTGAGGAGAGCCCTTGCCGGGGCTCGCCCTTGCCCAAGCAACGGTCGACCTCACCCAGGCCAGATTTGCCGAGGCCAACCCTGCCCAAGCCAGGACGGCATCGCCCGGGCAAAGGCGAGGCCACCATGGCCTGGGCAAGGGTCAGCCTCGCCAAATCTGGCCTCAGACCTTGCCTAAGCAAAGTCGAGCCTTGGCGAGGGCTCCCCTCGCCATATTTGGCCAGGCCGCCATGGCTTGGGCGAGGGCCCGCCTCGCTAGATCTGGCGAGGGGAGCCCTCGCCGGGGCACAACCTCGCCCAGGCGAGGCCAGCCCGCCCGACCATGGCCAATGGCCAAAGGTAGAAGAAAGGAATAAAAAGAAAAGAAGGAAAAAAAAGAAAAAAAGCAGAAAAAATTTTCTATCACATATAAAGATAGACACCGTCTAAAACTTGACTATCAAAACAAGAAGTTTTTCTCACCCCAAAAATCAAAAGATTATCAATGTGACAACAGTAAAGACTATTCTAGATGAACTTAACACTTCCAGGGGCTGCTACGCAACACGCACATGCTTGTTTAATTCTTAAACAAGCTCGAACAAAAAAGATGTTCAAGTTGTCAGAAATTAAGCTGTCGTTCAAGTGAAGGACGAGAAATGTGCTCACTTCGATATAGAAGTAGCATCTTCAGGTGGGTCTGCAGCTAACACCCTCTTATAATAATTCCAGTCTGGATTTGACTTTGTAATTGCTCTTTGACCAAATGGATTCTGCACTACATACTTCCGAACATCGTCGGCCAAAGCTAAGCTTTCTAAGTAGACCCGCAGGTCACCTCCAGTTCCTGCATGAAGCGTTAATTGCGAATAAAACATTTAGAGCACTGATGAAAAACTGCAACTGGGAGAATGAGAGCATTATCAGCCACTGGATGGTCTTTTTCCAAGAAAGATATAATAAGCCTAATGATACAGTAGCAGATAAGAGGTAGCAAAATAATGCACAAGGCGACCTGCTCTCCCGCAAAATATGCAAATATTACGATAGGCAGAAAAAGTTTGATCTATAGCTTATTCAGCCATGATCTAAGATTCCATGAGCTTGGAGAAATCTGGAGACATAGGGACAGCTGTAAAAACAAATTTACAGGCAAACAACCAAGTAGATATGCACGTCTTCTGACAAACAAAACTGTTAACAGATCACAAGGTGATATCTAATACTTCTAGCACAGTAAAATAAACAAAGTGCCAACTATATGAATGTCCAGGATGATGAACTCAACAGGGTAAAAAATTGACCAAGTTTATGTCACTATGTTATCCCTGGTCAAATTATACATACAAAACTAAAAG